TGAATTACTGAAATAAATGAACTTTTCCACGACATTCTAATTTATTGAGATGCACCTGTACCTTGTGAGAGTGACACTGGAAATGCCAGGACAACGAGAGGGGCCATTTGTATGTTTCAGGCAGGATATTTTCTGGAGGGACCATCTAGGTAAGGAAGTGCTTTACACACTTAGTAATATTAGACTTAAGATAAAAAATCTCAACGTGTCATTAAAATGTTTTGATCCTCCAGAGTCTGAAATAATAGAGCTTAATCTTTCAAGGTCTTTCCCTCAAAGCTAGTGCCTCAAATTATGAATGCCACAGTATCAAGGCTGAATGAGCCGTGCCTAATTTTGAATGATGGGGAGTCCCATGTTATGTCTTAGAACAGGAAGTGATGTCAGATTATTTTCCTGTGTGGCAGTTATTTACATGGGAGGCGTAACCACTATGATTGACACAATGACTGCTAATCTTACTGCCCTTATTTGTTCAATGGATTGAGTGATTTTAGGGATTGGGCATCAGGGTTAGGACTTGTTAAACTCTGGTCTTTCTGTTCAGTGCCTCTGGGTAGTGTGGTTTTCATCCACTGCACTCAGGATCAAATAGATGAGATTTTCATTCACTTCATTAGAGGAAATGCATTGCAGATTTTACCTAGGAAATTGTACCCTATCTACCCTATCTCTATTTTTTTTTCTCACACTTGTTCTCTTCCCCGGTTTCACTCCTGGTAGTTCTATTTGTGTCAATAAAACTGGGTTATTTATTTGGAGCACGAAGCTGAAAGCAGCCGAAGATCCACCACAGGCCATGTGCATGTGCACACATCTCTATACACGTGAGTGAGATTGCAGGTGTGTGTTTGAGGCTGTGTGTGTGTGTGCAATGATCTAGCTGATATTTAACCTAATCTCTGTGAATGAAGTATTTGGAAATGTGCACATGTAAGCACTAAACTGAATCCACTCTATCGCACCTCTCACTCATATTCCGAAAAAATTTGTGCTTTTTTATATAAATAAAATTGTTAAATTGTAAAATTTCTGCTAGAATATGTATAAAATATTCCAACTACCTGACAGTTATGGCTGAAATAAGTGTCCTGTGACGGTCTAGACTGAAAAACAGCAAAAATAAATAAAAAGTTGGAGCTGGCACACACTTTTGTAGCCAATTTAGTTGTTGCAGTTTTTTTTGTTGCAGTTCATGTTGCAGTTTTTTTTACATTTTGTTTATTAATTTTTTTTTTTTTTTTGAGGGTGGAGGTTTTGAAGAGTTGTTATAATTATCAAAATGGGTAAAACTGATCATAGCACATTTATTTATTTATTTATTATGAGTTTTCTGAGGTTAAGAATGTTTCTGTATTAACAATATTACAAAAATTTATTTTTCAGCTGTATTATTAGGAATGACTTTTAGTTTTTGTACAATTAGATTTCTTAACTCTCAAATTTCTTATTTTTCTGAGTGCTGTCTATATATGAGTCAGTCAATTAATCAATCAACCAATCAAAATTAGCCTCAAAGTTTTAAATGCATGGACTATGAAAACTAGTGTGAACGATGACATTTCGAAATGAAGCAAATTAATCCCGTTTTAAGTTGGAATGGCACCAGTAATCGCTATGCGCTACGAACCTTGGTTTTCCTATGGCGAGAAGCAGGGAGGATGGATGTCAATCGTATCCATATTGTGCTTGCATGAAATCCATTTGATCTAAGTTACACATCCTGCATATATTCCAGTAAAGAGAACTGACTGACACCGCAGTGTTACAGTAATGAATGACACATTGTCCACATCACAGGAGTGTATATTCATATGTGGAGACTCTAAACTCAGCATCTCTGTGTAAATACTGTCATGCGGTACAGTGTGACTTCATATGCCTTACTAGCACTCATGGGCATGTGAAGCTGGAGCTTTACAGACATATATATATATATATATATATATATATATATAT